GCACACACGGTTTCGTCCAATAAACACACACGCTCAATGAAAAGAAATAGATAATAACAATAACCAGTAGTGCCGCTAAGGGGTAACTGTTGTAATAGAGTAAACGATTTTATATTTCTCATTTGGCGGCCGGTGGAGTAAAATTATATAATAATGTAATACAATTTTTTAGACATTAGTTATTACTCATTATATAGTGCGTACTACTGCAGTGACCCGATTAAATGGTAATCGTAATAACGGCCGACCCGCCGACCCTGTCATCGTATTTTTGTTCGTTTAGTTGGTGAGGGGAATGGAGACTGGAGATGGTATCAGGAAGAACTCGATACCAGGCGGCCATCATCCACGCAATTTCTGTAATTACAATAAACACTTAGAAACTATATTGTGCCTACTTAACATAAAACCCCGGAAACACGACAGTATCAGGTAGCAGCAACTTAGATGAAGAAATTATTTGACATAAAATAGTTACTACTATTAATACTTTCGGGACCATTAAATTAGTTTATTACTTATAATTTAGAAATACACTTACAACGATGGTGTTCAAAAATATCGAAATCCTGTAAATTCAACATAAATACTTACAGATAAAGATTCCATGCTTCTATAGAACTTTAACTCGTATGACATAAGCTTTCTGTATGAAATCTTGAAATATAGAAACTCTGTCTCTAACGAGACTCTGGCGACGGCCCTTTATCCACGATGGAACGATCTGTATCATTATTTGTATGATTTCTAACAATAGATAACATCGTGGCCAAATGGCCAATTGCATAAAGTCGGGGTACGCAATGCGTTGGACGACACTCACAAGTCCTAGACTATAATGATACCTAAGTGAGAAATAAATTAATAGTTGTGCCACCAGTTCCCGATATTTTGCCTATTAGTATTATTGTTATTGTTTGCAAGAGTGCGATAATCGTTCCAAACGTCGACCATAATTATAACTATTCGAATACGCTCAGGCTCAATCCGTTAAACCGAATGGATTAAATAGTCGAAACGTTTAAAAACGTACTTCGGTGCGCTTCGATGCGGCTCAAGTTCCACGATTATACAAAATCCTCCTTAAATCGGTCACGATGAAAGCACACTACGTAATTTGTTCTTTTTTTGCAGTAGATTACTTCTCTGGAAAATACAAGTTTTCCTTTTGTTACTATATACACACTTACTGATAATTTAGAAAATATAAACTTATTTTTTAGTTTACCAATACTTATAAAGAATATTAGATGGTTTTAAACCTTATGCTTTACAGAAAGAACTGTATTCCGTAATTCGACAAAAAATCTCCTCCGAAATAAATGATAATATATTTTTTCAAACAAAACTTCACATATTATTCTACACTTCAGAATTAATGCTTTAGTTTTATTATTTATGTATTTAAAATTGACAAAATTTCCTAAGATGTATGTCAATTACCAACATAAAAGATAACAGTACAACAATTACAAACATAAACATAAAATAGTTATAAAACCAAGTGCTTATATGTTACGCTAGCTGGGCTATTAACTAAAGCACAGTCTAATTGGAATTTAGAAGCATACCTTTACTATATAGTAGCTGATCGTAACCGTCAACCAAATATTATGACCATATATAATTGTCATCATAATACCATTTTACTTCTTAGATATTCAATAATATAATTGAGTAATAGTTTTGGGAAATATGATCAACTTTAATGATATACTTCAGTTTACAGATCCGATAAATTTTGATTAAAAATTAATTGAAAAAGACCAACAAATTAATTCACAGAAAAATATGTTTTGTATTTTTGTGTGAAAATTTAAAAATTAATGTGTATAAGAGTCGAGAAAAATAATTACATTTATCAAATCAAAATGTATAAGTATCAAATATGTATAGATTCCAGTTCAGTTATAACGGGAATATTATCATTTTCTTAAAATAAATATATTGGTTTCGATTTCAGGACATATTATTTTCATGATTGATTCCAATTCGTGGACTTCTGGTGCTTGGTTACTACATATAGCTTAAATAGCTTAAGCAGATCAGTTTTCTGATAACAAATTCTAAAAATAATAAGAAACATGAGGATATGTGGTAATAAGGATGGTTATACATCTTAATAAATTATGACAAAAAATTAATTTTTCCAACTGCTTAAAATATTCTAATCAGAATAATTAATCATTTTTATAGTAAATGTCTACCTAGTCAATATATAACTGTATTATTTAAATAAAAAAATATTATTAGGTCAAAAAAATCTATATTTCTTCATCGAGACTTATTAACTCCAGTTCCATGTAACCATTATTTTTATTTTAGCCACTACACGGGGCTTGAACTATTTGTGACATGATTTGACTCCCCCTTTCCCATGCAGCATCGTATGGTGACATCAACGAAATATAGCAATCATTTTTCAATTTGGAAGACCAAAGATAGCATTCCTTAGAGTTTGGCTGGTGTGGCTAGTGCGCATTTGCAGTTAGCAAAGTCTAGCGAACGATCAACTTTCACATATGATAATAGAGACCAACTCCTTCCATATCGACCTAACTTTTGTTATAATATAATGATCTATCAGCCTGAAAACATGTTTTTGCCCGGCCTCTTCTCGGGTCGGCTTACGACTGTGGCCCGTAACCGTAGACTTCGAGTTCTTATAACTATTGACAACCATCCAGAAGTTTTTGGGTCTATTGCGTACAAAGAGAGAAATAAATAAATGAAGAAAGAATTATTAATTTGTATATAGTACTCATACAATTACGAAACAAAATAAACAATTTCTAAAAGTGCAATACTAATTAATCACTATGATATATTTTAACGGAAAAACATTTTTTTTTTTTTTTTGATTAGTTTCCAATTTACATTAACAGTTTTTAAGGTAACTTGTATTCTATTTTCATGTTTTGTTTGTCCAGAATTAAGAATTCATACTACAGTTTTTATGATTTTTAAAATTATAAGAAAATTAGATGAAATTAATGGAACGTCAGTTAAGCACTGAAATAGTTTAATAATATCATTATATATGGAAGCTGTCACTGATGTTGTGCAATGTAAAAAGTGATTTTCTTGTTGAATTTTTATTTTAATATTTAATCCATTAAATTGCATTATTATTTATGACATCCACTGTACTAAATTTAATAATCTTGAGAAGGTGATGACACTTAATATAATGTGTTTAATATACACATAATATATATTGGTATATGGTATGCAATATACATATATCCATTTAAGTGTCTACACTAATTATTTCGAAAATCCTTAATTTTTTTGAAAATATTAATTTGAATAGATACATAAAATCAAACTTTGAACGAGTAATATTTAAATTGATTAGTACTCCAGTACTAGGTACTCTTTGCAGTTCATCTACACTTAAAATAGTTTTAAAGTTATAAGTTATTACTCATCATTCATCAACTACTCATTCTAAATATACCAAAAAATATTTTGCTATATAATATGAAATTAAAAATAATGTTGTCATTCAAAACACATATTATTTCAGAATAATGAGGGTTTACTTGTATAGCCTACACTTATAATTTACTTAAAATATAAATATATGAATAGCAATGTTTGAGTATAGATACACGACCTACAGGCATTGTGGGGCCCTGAATGGCTGTATTTATATATTTTTTTCCTCAACAAATAATACACAGTTTATAATAATAATAATATTATAGTGTTTTATTCGTGTAGGTAAAATACGACCCATTATCCAAACATAATACCATAGGCGATGGTAAGCTCTCCCAATTTTTAAAACTATTATGCTCTCCTGATCCCCGATGATTAACTTTCCAGGGTTAACATTATATTTACCCGAAGAAAATATGTAAACTCCCCCGGGTCAACATTCTGTTTACCCGAAGGAGACGTGTAAACTATCACGTGTTGTTTTAAAATTATACACTACCAAAAAATAGACAACTTGAATTTGTTTAAATAATATGAATGTTTATTGTATTATACAAATTAAATTTAAGTGTTAATTTAATTATAAATTAATTTAAATTATTGTTTATAATTTAGGTAAGTTCTATATTTTATATGATTGAGTAGTGAGTTTTTTTCATTAAATTAAAACGAATATTATATTTAAAAAAATGTTATGTTCACATTACTATAAATATAATTATAATGATACAGTTTTAATGTATAAACAAAGTTATATAGACTCGGAGGAATGTACCTATAGTCCTATATGTACCCGTCAAGTAGTATTGAATCAGACCCCGAAGGGTTTGCAGTTGATTAAAATCGAGAGATATCTAGATATCGAGTGCAGTACCTATTGAATAAAATACGTGTATTGTATAATAAGTGTGAGTTTATATTGTTCCGATAAACGCTTTGAAGTCCATAAACTACTTGTATACAAATTTCGTCTCATAGATTTTCATCCTCGTATTTCCCAACAGAATAAATATCATACAGTTGTTTGTCACGAGCGGCAGTGCAGAATGACGTTTCCGCGTCTGGTGCATTGTGGATTACAATAATGATATACACGGGGCGGTAGAAGAACAAGGAGTAGTTGCGGTGGAAGTTATCGGGCCATTAGGTATTAATAAAACGGAGACCGGTGCGATATTTGATCGTGAGGAAACTCGGTGTGCACCGTTTGGAGGGGGTTGGGGGTCGGTCGAGTGGATTGATTTTCGGTCACTGGACAGATATATAATTGTATACAGACGGACAATTAGCGGGATGGGTTTTTAAAAACAGTCAACAAACACACCATTGTATATAGCTGCAGAGGCGACATGCACACACACACACACACACACACACACACACACACACACACACACACACGTACACACACAGATACGCTGCACTCGAAGCACCCTCGAGGGCTGAAAAAAAAGGGTCGTGCCGTACAAGACATGGGTAGGCGGTGCTTGCTGGATGGATCACGGTTTGGTGGTGGGGACGACCCCCCGGGGCCAGTCGGTGGGGTTGGTGCGACGCAGACCTCTGGTAGACAGTCAGTCACCACACAACCCCGCTGCCGAAGACCTAAACGCTGGTCGTCGTCGTGCTGGTGCGTAAAACCATAATACATTTATCTCGTAGTTATTAATATAACTGAAGATCGTATTATCGTGGCCGTGTTACCAAAGGAAACTCCGCTTTCTTCGTTTATAAAAGTCCCGACGTTGTGTCACGTGCGTGTGATCGGGTTACTAATAATTCCAAGTCGTTTCCGTCTCTACGATATGGACGGTCCTCGTTGGCCCGTGACGATGACCTCGACCAAGAAAACCATGTCCCGGTCATTTCTGATCGACACGCTCATAGGCAGCGTCAAACGTCCCTCCACCACCGCTGCTGTAGCTGCCGCAGCCGCTGCAGCCACCGTATCCGCGGCCTCTGTATCTTATCACCCACAGCTCAACGAGTACATTCAGTTCTTGAACAGGACTGCAGCGGCAGCCGCCGTCTATGGATACCAATCGTCGACGCCTGTTGTATTTCCGTCGGCTACTAATCCACGGTTTTTCGGTTATCCGGTCGGCGGAAGTAGTAGTGGAGGTGGCGGTGGTGCATTCGGTAAAGACCACCAACAGCAACGCCACGATCATCAACACAACTACCACCAGAAGCAGGCACCTCCGGTGGTCGTAAAACCCGTTGCTGTTGTAGCTACCAATACGGGCCAGAGGAATAAACCACACCATGCCAAAACTTCGGCGAAAAAGAGAGCAGCAAATGAAATGATGGCTTACGATCCAGGTATGTTGTATACAACACAATAAATGCTATTTACTAAACAGGGGAAGATTTGGGGTTTTCTTGAATTTCATTATCAATATCATCGTTTATCGATTATCAACAGTATTTCATTAAAAGTTCTATTAAAGAAATTCAAAACAACTAATTTTTTCTTGCACTTATCGCACATTAGAATGAGAAATATTGTAGTGACGTTAAAGACGTGTAATATATTTGAACATTTTGTTTGGTTTGGTATTAATTTCAAATTTTAGAAATTATTTTAAAATCAAATTCGTTAGTCATACATTTGTTACGTATTTAATTAGTTGTTAAGTAGGTACACGACGCACCTTTAATTACTACGGAGTAGGTTTGGAAATATTTTAAATCTTGTTTAAATTTTGCATTAGAATATCTAAAAATATTATTTTTAACAACATTACATAAAATGTTCGTAAGTAAAAAGGAATCTTTTTTATTTTACTTCATTTACTATATTAATTATTATTTAATATTTATTACGGACTAATGATTGTAGATTATCAAAAGTTATTTATTTACAATCAGTATAATAATATATTATGTTATTTAGAGAGGATTTTTTATATGTATATATACCACGAAATAATTTTTTTTTTTATTCTTTTTGCTTTTCAAGGGCAATCTTAAAAAATTCATCGGGGGTGGGTATAATTTTAATTGCCGAATGTTTAAATGTCGAACTGTCGAACTGTCATTTGAAAGTTTTATATTGTTGTAGAGTCGGGCGTGTCACTCACCCACGACTTTTTTTTGGTTAGTCTCTATCTCCATTACTTAAATTTAATTATACTTTTATATTTCTAAATTTAATTTCAGACAGAATTTAGAATACATAATGATTTTATAATGTTTCCAAATATATTTTGAAAATTGTACACTTTGTTCCAACTTTAAACTCTGAGGAGGAAATCTTTACTTTCTCAATGTTAAATATTTTGAACAATACATACATTGTCACGGTGGTCATAATTTAAGTCGCGTAATGTAGTTTTATATTATTATGGCCTATTAATTTGGGTATATCTTGTAATGCGACGAGGACATTAAAAAAAAAAAATTGAATCTTACGTTTCTCTTTTTTTTCTTACAGATTCTGTTGTGGCTGAAGATCCATTACGAGAAAATGGAGAAAGCGATACAGATTCCGGAAGTTCGAAAAGGATCCGGACAGCGTTTACCAGTAACCAGCTATTGGAGTTGGAACGAGAATTCTCCAGCAACATGTATCTGTCGCGATTGAGGCGCATAGAGATCGCCAACTGTCTGCGGTTGTCCGAGAAGCAGGTGAAAATTTGGTTCCAGAACAGACGGGTTAAGCACAAAAAAGAAGACGGACCCATAGCATCGATAAAGCCAGGCACGCCATGCTGCAACTGTTCAAAGTCTTGTCATCAGTCATCCACGGCGGTCGGAAGTACGTCTGGTTGTCGAAAAAATGATACAGATGGCGACGATGGCGATGGACGTTGTGGTCGGTTTGACTAGACACGAGTGTAGACGAACAACCTATATTATAATAGTTCGTCCGTGGCAAGTACAAACATTATCTTAAGAGCAATGGCTGTGATGAAGAGTGGCGGTCGAATGACATCGATCAAACACTGTAAAACGAATTTCTTTTAAAACCATTTTGCGGTGGACGCGAAATAACTATAAGTCATTCAAAATCTTACGAATTTAATTAGTTGATGGAATAATATTAGAATTTCCTGGGTACCTACTGCGCGTCGTCCTAGACCAGTACCTAATCGTCGGCAATGGTTTTAACGATGTTCATGGAGTAAGATGCAACTGGAACGCGTGGTTTGAACAAAGTATATCATTATATAGTTTAAATAAATATTACGTTTACTAAATCATCACGATTAAAATATATTTATTTTTGTAATTGTTTTTTTTTATTGTATATTAAATTTTTTTAATATTTTAATCAGAGTTGTAAATATATTTGTCACTGGTGTATTCTTCCAATAAAATCAAGGGAAATAATTTATTATTTTATACACATCCAAGTACGAACTAGATAAAGATATCCAAAATAATAATATAAAAAAAAAAAAATAATAAAAAAAGCTTTGTCAAAAAAAAAAAAAAAATTAAAATTGTAACTTCTATATTTTACAAAAACTTCTTTAGCATGGGTCGAAAATGTAATTGTCATCATCATTACATAATTAACATTTTCTTAACGTTTTATATTTAAATTTGAATCAAAATATATATACTTATAACATACTTTCTTATTATATTAGTAAAACGAGTAAGAAATTCTGGTATCAGTATACCGTCAATTTTTTTTTAAATACCGAGTAGAGCGATCAAGGTAAACCTTTAAATACCAGTCACTCTCGGTCACTGAACAATTTTCCGCTTTTCTGCTATTGAAGAAAATGTATAGTTCGTTTCTGAAACGACATCCACTATTTAGTAAGGGTAATACGGACTAATACCTGTTTCACTAAAATAAATAAATTTCACTTAAAATTATGTTTTATTTTAGTGTGTTTGACGTTATATTAGGAATAATAAAAATGCACTAATTAACAACTTTGATTGTTTCTGGTAGACAAATGGATGCCTAGGATCTTCAAGATAACTAAAAATAAAAAAATTGTATGGTTGGATAAGAAGCTTGAAAATGTAATACAATGTAATTTTATCTCATTAGTTATGAATTTATGATTGTTTAAAAACAATAAAAATAGAAAGGCACATTTTCCAAGATTATGACACAATCACGAAAATGTGTAAAATAGGGAACCTAGTGTTGAAAGAACAGTTCTGAGTAATATTGATAATTTATTTATTTATCTACAAAATGTGGCGTATAAATTGTTAATCCATCTAAGGTATATTAAAGGGGGATATGGGAGACCCTCATGGTTCTGATCGGCAAACAAATGAAATTAAAAAAAATTAAAATTTCGCTTATGTTATTATTATTAACTCATAGTGTAATACAATAATATTTACTTACCATATAACGGTGCGATGTGTGGATAGATCTGAGGTCTAAATTGGTAGTCAATAGGAAATATGAATCTCAATGATATTAAAAAGTCATTGTTTATATCTATGTAAAATCTAATCATATGCATTCAAGTTTGAAATCCCCAAAATACGTTCTTGTAAATTACAACAAACGAACTAAACTCATTGTAAGTACTTCGTTTAAATATCTTGGTTTGATCGAGTTTAAGGTTTGAATGCTTATGCTAAATGAATAAGGAACATTGTATTACATTTTTCAATCTTTCTTACAGAGAAAATGAAACGATGAAAATGAATATAGAAATATGATAATTTAAGTTAATGTAGAATTATGCATTACGCAGTGACCTAGTCAATGACGAGGTACACTCGACAGACCGACATCAAAAACTATATCACAGCAAAGCGATTTCCCGGTTTTATTTGTATTAATTGTCATTAAAGTTAATTTGAGTACTTATTATTTAATACGATTTAGTAGGTGCTTAGTCTAGGCAATGATTACCTTACTTAATTACTGTTTTATATTCGCAGTGCATTAAACAATATTAGACGATAGTGCAAAACTATAATAAACACGTACCGCGGAGAGTAGAAAAACGTACACCGTGCGCGCTGACTCGCCGAACCTACATTGTGTATACCGTATATATATATATATCCAATATTATGTACGAGTAACCCTGTGGTCTTTCCGGAAAACCAATAAAAACGTCGTAGAGGGTTTTATTTGTTGTGAATGGGGTAAACAATAATAAAGTTCAGATACCCTTTTCGGCAAAAAGGACGTCGCCGCGCGGCGCGGGAGGACGCAGGAATCACGTATCGAAATAATAGGTAGGGTATATCCAGTACGCATCCGCTGTGACAGTCGGTCCAATATAGCGACCAGCACGGCACAGTCCGACCGACTCGACTGTTATGTACAATAATATAATATATTAATAATATTATCGGTGTTGTCGTTTTTGAGGGTACCTACACCGCGGTGGCGGTAGATGACAGCGGTAGTCCACGTAAACCGGCCGCAAAGGTTATTTTACATACTATATATAATATATATATACCAATGTGTGTACGATACACCATACATGTACACAATATACGTATACTGATGTGCAAACGTATAAAGGACGTTTGATTTATGTGATTCTTCGTTAAACCTTGTTCATTTTCTGTGGGGATTTTCCCGTCCGTCCGCGGCTTTATATTATTATTATGTACACGGATACCGTACACTCGAAAATGGCCCACCGCCGCGTTTTGTTGTTTTATTGCAACCGACCCCGTACGCCGGTCACGTAATAAATATTTATGCCCATAGTTTCTGTTTATTTATTTTTTTCTTCCCTTCGACCCCATCGATTTTCTATTTTTTTTTCCATCGGTTAGCATGCAGTATAGCCTATAGGTACATACCTTTATAATATAACATTACCTATATTATAGTATGACACTATGGTAATACGCGCATTACCCTAAAGCGGTTTGGTAACCGTTTCTGTAAATAATTATTCATGTAAAATGCACTTTGCTGGATATAAATAAATATTATTATTGAAAAAACAACACGATTTATATCATGAAGTTTGATGAATTAGAGTAGGCGCATCAATGTTTATGAATCATAAATAATGATCAATCGAACTATCCGTCGTACGTAATATTGTAATTATTCTAATATACCGTAGGTAAAACATTATACATGGTTATCACTCATCAACAACATTGCATAGGTTTGATTACAAGTAGGTAGTGGTAATATTGTATAATTCACATTTTAATTTCCATCCGAAATCAAAATAGTAAATATTTGCACTTGAGTGTATTACAACAAAGTGTTTTCAACCTTATAACATTATATTATAACTTATACCGTATATTGTTGTTATAATGTTTAACATCGTTTGTTTGGATTTTTTTCGTTTCCATTCAAACGCCACCAAAATCCATGCCTTTAATCGAATTAGGATTTGTTAGAGCTTGGGAATCGAATGAGATAGGTACCTACCCTAAAATTCCATACGTCCCTAGGGGCCACGATGGTCAACCCTAGAATGTCAACTCGTCTCGTCTGAATATTAGATTACTCACAAAATTATTTTCAGTATGTGTTGCTTTGCTATGGTTCCTCGTTAAAATTACCATACGTCCAAACACACACCGACGACATATTTGTTACCACGAAAATAATAACGTTTCAAATAAAATGACTACCATGTCGGAGGCGTTCTACAATTTAAATCAATACAAGTGTACAACTGAGTATTATATCATTATGATTAAGATTAATTTAAAATCGTTAAAACTGTAAGTTACACTAATGGAATGAGCTTTGACTCTAATTTTTTTAGAACAATTATAGGATGTGATAGTGGGCCAATGAATATTTGATTTTACACGTTTTGTATCATATGAGAGTTTTTGTCTATTATCAACTTTTAAAGCATTACAAATTCTTGCAAAATTGATGTTGTTATTTTGTTGTGATTCAACACTAAATTGTTACCATATTTTATATGGTGAAGCATTTTCTAAACGTGATATTATTTTTAAATATTTCGGCTCTTTTTGTGCTATTTAAGTATAGATATTTGAAATTTTCAACTTTTTTAAATTAATAATAATATTAAAATTTTAAGTAACTTTTGTATTTTTTTTCTTATTATTATAAAAATTACTGAGAATTTTAAAATTTGACCTACGAAAGTACCAACCAGATACAGTTTTCTACCATAAGCCCCCATTGAAGTCGATGGTCAGAGCATTTTTTGTACTAAAAAATGGCATTCTTATGATATAATAATGTAGCAGATCATATTTTTCTTAAGTTTTACCTTAACTACTTAACAGGTATAAACGCCCATACTAATCCCAATAACATCGGTTATTAATACCACCAAATGTTTGTCTAAATTGTATGATGGTACTTGAACACCAGAATACATCCAGCACTCGATACCCGATGCCCGAATAAATTATTTGGATGAAAATCCTTTAAAATATCCTTAGAAATTGAAGCTGATACTTTACATATATATATAGTTTGTAGAATCGTTTTTCGTATGCAAAATGCAAATAAATTCAATCATTTATCATTAAATTTAAATTGAACACAGTATTATTCACAGTGACCTATCCTCAATAAAAAGGTACACTCGAAACATACTATATAGTATATACAGTAGAGCGACTTCCCCCGTTTTTATTTTTTATTAATTCACTATTTCGAACATGATGCTCTATCTTTATTTTGTACTCGTATTGTCTATTGAGTTTAACTTTTACAGAAATAATTATTTCATCTTAAGTTGAAGTGTTTGATATTCTGATAAATTAGAGTACTGAAATAATATTTTACACTGTTTACAGTTGAGTTATATACTTAAATAAATACAATGCGTATACCTACTAATAATTCATAATAATAAGAAGTTACTTATTTTTAAGTACAGATAATTAATTAGTAAATAATATTTTATGAAGAACATACTATTTATTACAAATACGGTTGTTGATAAATACGATGAAAGTATAAATTATGGTTGTATGCATTGTGTGAGGTAATGTTATAATATGTTGTAGTACATTGTACATATGTAATATATTACGGTGTATGAATAAAATAACACATGTAGAAAAATTCACAAAATTAGTTAAACAGTTAAAACG